AATTGTTTTGTAATTTTACAGTTGTAATGTAAAATAACATTTATTATAATTATTAAACATTTGATTTATTTTGCAGTGAACTATTACAATAGTAATATTTCTTGTTTTGTAATTATTTAGTAATTTACATATTTTTGTTTTATAAAAAATTATATTTAATACCCTTATCGATCTCATTAAAAAAAGTAATATGGAATTATTATTATTTTTATAAATCATTTTAAAGCACAAATTTCAGAAAAATCACAAATTTGATAATTTTTTTCAGCTGTAATGTAAAATTATTATTATTAAATATTTGATTTATTTTGCAGGGAACTATTACAATAGTACAATACAATATATTACAATAGTATCATTTAGTAATTTGTATATTTTTATTTAATAATAATAATCGTCATCATCACAATTATTAATACTGAGATATATTTAAAACTTTTAAAATTATTTTAAATCACAAATTTCAGGAAAATCACAATTGGATTTTTTTTTTCAGTTGTAATGTAAAATTAAATAAATTAATTATTATTAATCAATTATTATTATTATTATTTATTAAATACTTGATTTATTTAGCAGTGAATGGTTACAATAGTAATATTTCTTAATGTTTTTTAGTAATTTGTGTATTGTTATTTAATAATAATAATAATAATGAATACCCATATTAATATATATTTAAAACTTTTTGGCTAAATTGTGCAGCCCTACCTGCAGGGCTCCAGACTAACATTTGAGAGCAGTGGCACCAGAAGCAGATTTGGTAGCGCTGGGGGTGGTGTGCGGGAGTATTAAAATATAGATCATTTAATCATGAAATTACTATTGTTTTGCATTAATAAGTGCAGTTAGGCTACTAATAATATTTGACAGTAAAGCACTAAGCTTGAGTTAAGATGCATACAAAATTTACTTTTAGTAACAACAGGAACAAGTGCAAAATCGAATTTTTATATAGAAAAATAATAAATTCCATTCTTATTAAATGTACCATTATTCTTCTAGTATATGGAACTGACCAACTTCAGTGATTGTGTGATTTAGTAGCAAATTGAAGAAAAGTTCACTTTGTGACTTTTCTTTCTTCATGCACAAAAAAAAAAGTGTACAAATCTGACAAAATCTGATTTGTTGATTATTTTATAATAGTGATTTTATCATTTCAAAATATAGAAAAAAAAAGTAGAAATGAATGACTAATAAGCCAATAAGTGCTCCTCCACTCTAAAAAAAAAAAAAATAAATGCTGGGTTGTTTCAACCCAACTTTGGGTCAAATATGGACTAACCCAACTTTTGGGTTAAGAATTATGTATTTTAAGTCAATTTAAAGGCTATTGTTCACTTAGCCTACATCTGTTTTTATTACCACAAAAATTAATTATAATATTTTATTATTAGTAGACCAGATCATGTGGACATGTTGTCATTCTTACACTATAATACTGAACTTTGATTTCAGTGATTTGGACTGTGAGATGGACACTTGCTTCTGTTGTTTACACATTTCTAAGAGTACTTTTAATACTTAAAATTTTTAATAATAAAATTAATAATTGATTCTAGTGGACTCTAAACATTGCATTTATTTAATGTGAATAAAATGTTCCCTTTGTAGTTGCACTCGCAGCTGTAATGAACAGAAGCCCAGAACATGTGGATATATTGACATGAAGACTTTTGTAATTATTATTTACATTTTTACACTTTTAGTTTTACATTTCGTCAATGGCTTGTTTACATTTATACTTCTTTATGGTACACTACTGAATGGCAAAGTTGCAAGTTTAATAAAATGTTCTTTATTAAAATTGTAGATTTATTTATCGGTTTAATTTTGCGGGAAATTAATCGATTAGTCGATAGATTAATCAAAGTAAAAATAGTCGTTAGTGGCAGCCCTATTACTAAGTTTCACCAGGTATTTCGGCTGCCGTTTCCACTGAACACCTGCTGTTGTTCACTCTGACCTTTGACCTTTTGAGCCGACCTCAAGGGTCGCTGTGGGTTTGGACACGTTTCAGTGTCGTGATTGACAAGTCCCTATCTGTGCCAGGGACAGACACGCTAAAACTAAAACTAAAACCATGAAATAAAAGTTACTTGAAATGAAATCGAATATTAAAAATGTATTTAAAAAAAATTTTTAACTTTTTTTTTGTTTGTTTAACTTGAAATACTAAAATATCTAAAACTAAATAAATTAAAACCAATAAGTAAATTAGTTTAACTATATATAGACATTTTTAAAAAATATTATTTTCTGTTTTATTTTATAAAAAAAAAAATTTAACTAGTAAGAATGACGAAAACAGACAATAAAATTCCTAAAACTTAAAGAAAATGTAAAAATAAAATATAATTTTAAATATTAAAAAACTAGTATGCATGAATAGTATATAAAAAATATGGTATATAAATGCTAAACATTTTTTAATTTTAATTGAGTAAAATGCTAAGATTTATTAAAAGTATTTTATAAAATACAGTAAAATGTTTAATATATAAGACATGAAATATGACATAATTTCAGTCTTTCCATGATTGATTTGTTAAATACATTTCAGTCCAGTTCAAATAAATGTATTAAATTTAGTTTAGTTAAATTTAGTTTTATATCTGTTACTGCGCTTCACCAAAGCTTTTGGAATTAAAAGAAAAAAGTCTACATAGTTTAATTAAAACTATATAGACATTAAATCATAGTAGTTTATTTCATTTAAAAAAAAAATATTATTTTATTTTAACTAATAAAAATGACAAGCACACAAGAAAATTACAAAAACTTTAAAAGTAAAGTGAAAACAAAAAAAATTACAAATAAAATCTATAAACTATAATAGTATATAAATGTATTTTAGTATATAAAAACTAAAATAACTCTGGACCGCACCAGTTTCATGATGCTGCTCATAATACTTAAATAAATGTCTTATTGTACTGGTCTTAATGTGAAGTTTTTCATAACCTTGTATGAATGCAATGACCTTTTCCTTCATAACACCTCGTCCAGCTGCTAACGCTCCTCTCATTCTGACCGGCTGCTGATGGCAAATTCATTTGATTTGGCTGCAGACTTTAACACGCCCTGTGTGGCAACTTCAGCCCGAACCGCTGCATGACGAAATGGAAAGAGATGACGAAAGCTGTGTGTGTGTGTGTTTCATCGTAATGTTTACCCTTCCGCTTTCCTCAAACATCAAACTGTGCAGAGTTCAGAGCGAAGGTCTTCAGATGTTCTTCACTCTGCAGTGACATCTGCACCTCTCCCAGTTTCTTCTGAAATGTAGAAATCTTGTTGTTGCATGCTGTGAAGTTTGCATTCGAGAGCTTTCCTCCGTGTGGGCTGCCTCTTGTGTTCTCTGTGGAGAGGTGTGTTGCTTTTGCAGCTCTACAATTAAGCACCACAAACCTGTAACTCTTTTTTTAGCCTTTTAAATTGTAAATGCAGTTTTTACAGGTTTTTTTCTTCCCCCTAATCATTCAGCTGCAGTGTATGTCGTGTGAACAGTCACTCTGTAAACGCTCATAACTCACAGCAGATCCGCTGCAGCTAACACTGAATGCGGTACATGTTGATGATGTTTTCTCTAGCTGTCTGTCGTCTTTTGCTAGTCGTTCGTTGGTTTGTCAGTCATGATTGTAGTTTGTGACTGGAGCAGAACGGTTACGTCACTGCTGGAAACATCGTTCAGACAGCAGATGGAGACACGGGTTTCCATCGTCCATCCGTGTGCATGAGGAAGGACACAGGCGTGTTTAAATGACACCAGTGTTCAAATCTCCTGTTTCACTCATGCATGATGCTAGTGCATTTACATTCATGCGTTTAGCACACGCTTTTATTTTACATTATCAATAATGTTATTTATAATTAACATTATAAAAATTATAATTTGTTCTGACACAGTTTAACTCTGAGTTCTTGTCATATTTTATTACCATTTTCTAAACTATAGCGAATAAACTCTGATAATGTGAGAAATGTTGAAGGTGTCTGAATACATTTTGGTTTGACTTTATATATATATATATGTGTGTGTGTGTGTGTGTGTGTGTATTACAGTGTGATTAATAAGCAAACAAATACACAGAGTACATAAATACTGAGTCAAATAATCACTTTTAACTAGATTTAATATTTTTCAGCATTGATTAAATTGCAGATACATTTATCTCATTATCTACCATTTTGGATTTTTATTTTTTATTGAGCTTGTTGCAGTGCATCATGGGATGGTAGTATTTTTTATTTAGGATTTTACCAATGTGACTTCAAGTTTTTCTGGATGATATTACTTGTTTATTTTCATTTGGACACTGTGAAAAAGATTTTTCGAAGTTGTAAAATAATACAACTTCAGTCATTCTACTTCAAAATTTAACGTTTAATAATAAAAAAAATATCAAATAAAAATTAAAACAAATACATAATAAATATTAAAAATAAAATAAATAGTAACAACAATTTAGTTTATTATTTTTGTATTTTATTTTAATATTTGTTTTTTTATTTTTTGTAATATTTTATTTTTATATTACATATAGTTGATATTGTTTTAATATTGTATTTGTTTATTTTTTTACCTTGCTATATAGAGGTTGTCGAACCAATGACTCATTACAAATATTCGTGTAAATGGCTAATAACCTCCCAAAATATGTGAAATTTAATAGCAGTTTCTGAATGAAAATTGTTTGTGTATAAAGGAAAGTTTATGTCTGATCTCCATAAAATTCTAAGATAAGCAGCTTCATTATACATTACTAATAACGAATGATCGTGATAATGAAAATAAGAAAATAAAACGGCTGTAATGGCAATACTTAAAGTAAACATGCTTTAGAATTTGGCCAAGTTGCCAAGCAACAGAACATTCCAATGACAGGCACTTTAGAATTCTGCTGACACGGGGTTAAATTCAAATACGGCCCGTCCAGTCAGAGTTCTGAATTGGAACAGTTTGTTGATATGTGATACCGTGTTTTGTGTGTTTTCAGGGTGAGGAGGGGCCGCCCAGTCTGGAGTACATTCAGGCCCGGGACCTGTTCCCCCAGAAAGAGCTGCTCAAAGAAGACGACGCTCTACAGGTCAGTTTCACGCCTGATGTCTGCTCTCTCCCATGCTGAGTTTCATCTCACATGTTTGCTCTCTGTAAAGAAAGTGGGTTAACACACCTCACACACACACACACACACACACACACTGTGCCTGTCCTCTGCGCTGAAGTGTGTGTGTGAAAAGACAATCAAATGAGAGGTCTGGGGAGACGGTGAGACGGTGGGGTGGAGGTGAAAAGAGTGAAATTCATCAAAAGGACAAAGCAATGACACCGACACAGCGGGGACGTCCAGAGACCAGACACGGGAAGAAGAGCGCAAGAGCTTGACATTGCGGAAAGCTCTAATAATACAAATCCAACACATCTTTGTAGTAACGAGAGTCCATGTTGTTTTCACATTCCGACTTAAAAGCACAACGCGGGAAATGAGAGCATCGAGGAGCGCGTGAATGCAGTAATTACACTTGCTCTGATGCCTTCCGTTAACTAAGCTAAACATGCTTCAATTAAAATGCCTAAAGCTAAACCTCCCTTGTATTCACATTTCTAAACCTGTTGTCCAACAAAAGAGAACATTATAACCTTTTTACTCCACAACACCAGTCACATGCTTTCTTTTGTGATCTGATGTGGCTTCTTGTCACAGAATGAGGCAGAAAATATGTTCCATATGCTACTTTAAAAAGAATACATCGATTAGCAATAGATTATAAATTAGGGTGGCCATACGCCCTCTTTTGCCAGGACATGTCCTCTTTTTGGACCTACAAAAATGTATCCGGCTGGGATTCCTTAATCGCCCCAAAATGTACGGGATTCGGCTGTTTTCAAGCATCAAGAATCAAGCATCTTAATAGTCCTTAATATTTTCAAGAAACGGCTGAAAACACATCTCTTTCATCTTCATTTGACCCTCTAACTCTAGCACTCTACTCTAATGCTACTTCTAATTTTATCTGCTTGTTTTTTTTTTTATTAAAAAAACTTGACCATCTAACATTTGCATTCTCTATGACATCAAAGTACGGCGAGAGAAAGCATAAGGAGACGTCCGCGCTCTCTTATAGCTCTCGCAGTACTTTGATGACACAC